GGAATCGAACCTCAGACTTTCGGATTCCACGCTCCGATGCTCTTCCACTGAGCCACAGAGACTCAACGGTAAGCGAGGTCTCCGGCTATGAGCAAGTTCATATGACACGCGTCCTGCATACTGTTAGGATCAGTAATGTCAATAGCGTAATGTTTAAAGATAGAAATAAGAGAGATGGTAAGTTTTGAGCTCGGTAAAGAAATAAAGAAAAATGTTTTTTGTCTTGTTACGAGCGTGGGACAAAGAGGAAATTCTCTGTTTGTTCAGCTGTTAGTGCCTACTTCTTCGACGATGTCAAGGAATTTATTGGTGAAGTATCTTAATGCTAGAACCGTCTTTGATTTGCGTCTCAGCACGAAAACATCCCAAAATTTAAACTTAGGTCTACTAAGGAGCGCATAGGGGACTGGGCGGAGGATTTTGGTTGTGTTACACTATAATTTACCTGCCGCTCCCTCCCCCTAAAAAAAAACAAAACAAAACAAAACAAAAAAAAAAAAAAAAAACGAAACAAAACAAAACAAAACAAAAAAACAAGAAAACAATAATATTAATAATTATAATAATAATATTGAAAAAACTCTGTAGTATCCAAATGACCCCCCCTCATACGCAGTTCTCTTCATACCCAGTTTCCCTTTGTACCCGGCTGGACGGTGCCGGCGGGGCTACTCGGCTCGAGGGCAGACTTAATTTTTGTTCGTTTTTTTTTCTGTGCTTAAAATACGCCAGACCGCAGAAGGTTAAGTGAACACAGACTGGTATTTGGCTAAAAATATCTAGAAATATTTAAGAGATAAGAAACCAGGTCAAAAGAAAAAACTCCAAGAAGTCTGAAATTAATCTGACTTTAAAGCAGGAGGAAATACTTCAGTGTAAGCCATCACGTAATTGTTTCACCTCGTGTTTTTTGATGATTTCGGTAGAAATTATTCGTATCTTTCTGTTTTAAATAATATTTATCATATTACTGATTGGTTAGGTCAGGTTGTTCAAAGGATGGAAATCGCTATCCACTAAGTAAATCTTTATCCTATGGATAGCGCAACGCGTTTTGTCAAAACTTATCCGCTGCATACGGATTTTTCCGATTGATAACATTATTAGTCTTTTGAGCAATTGGACTCTGAATTAACTTAACAGCAAGGAGATTGACTATCAAGAAAGCAGAAGTTTAATTGACGCATTATCACCTTAATCTTTTTATCGCATCCATAAAAATACTTTAGACACCCTAATCACATAACAAGTAAACATTTTGCGGGAAACTTAAGATTTTTGTTCTTAAGACACTGATAGCTTGAAAAATGAAAAAAATTGCGAAGTTATGCAATGTTTCGAGTATCATTTCGACATCACTTTCACTCTCTGTGAAGAAATGAGAGACGAGCTAACTTCAGTTGTTTTCCGAACATTTACATTGATCAATTCATTCTAAGAAAATTATTAAAACATTGAATCATAAGTGTCTTTTTAGCTGAGAAAGAAAATACAAAAACATTGGAATCATAAATGTCATTTTAGCTGAGAAATCTGACGCTAAGTTTACTCTAAAATATTAAAAAAAACACTGGCATATCGAAGCAAAAATAACTGTGAAACTAGAGATATCTCTGATGTGTAAAAGCCAACTCCAAAACTAAATCTTTCGAGCTTGTAAGTGAAGTGAAGACTCAATCTATTGAATGTTAAGCGGTTGGTTAGAATTAGGGCGTTTTTTTTGGTTGAATGTCGCAATAGTAGAAACACAACCGATTATGTATAAGGTCGACATCCCGAAAATTCCAAGGGTAGCTGAAGGTATTAACTGAATACTTATGGATAACTTCATGCTCGGAAAACGTAGATTTGCGAGTTAAAAATACAGCATTGGTTTCTTAGACCTATTATAGAGCAGAATGAAGTAAATCCTAGTTAATCTGGGATTACTTTGGACAGCTGTTCCTAAAGCGATAATTGCCTTCACAAAGGTCAAATTAAGGACATGCAATCACAACAAGATCGAATCCACTGGTTTACAACTTGCCAGATCTGTTTTCCATCGGATCCACACTTTCCAGTGTCGTACAAGATATCCACTATCACACCTCCTTGGTTACACTGGCCCTTCTGACTGAGGCAACTTCTGTCGTTTGTGTCGCAGATGATCTCGTTCAAGTAGCGCGGGAAATAAGCCGGTGATAACACTGTGACCGCTGACCACTCGGTGCATAGACGGCGGTGGCCATATTGATCGTGTGAGCCCTTGGTCCTAACGCTCGTGAGGTTCGTCTTAGGAAAGGGACTTGTCGGGCGTGACGTTGTTGTGGTGTTGGGTGCAGTTTGATTCAGTAGGTTGGGAAATTTTGCTGCGGCGTCTCTCGTGATTGCTTGATAGCGCTTGTTGAAGCTACCGTGGGTTTGCAGTTGTATCTCTAGTTCTCTGGTTGTCCTCGGTGTACATGCTGTTGATATGATGCCTCTTTGGGGGCTTGTTATGTTAGCGGTTGACGTGGAATTTAGTGGACGCGCTTCGATACAGCTTAGAAAGACACTGGTTGTTGCCACCGCTGAAATCAGTATTTTAAACATCTTTTCTGTGAAGACAAAATAATGCATTCTCTTAATTGCAGCATTACCCTATCAGTAACATACAAATTATACTGCGGTATTGTTAAACCCTAAAAAATATTTAACAAAACGAAAAGGTTGGGCGAAAAAAACTTCTATTTTATCTTATTAGTAAAGTTTCACTTCGCTTGAGCAATTTCTCAGGAGCGTGCAACATAGAGAAAACCGTTCTTCCTGTCAGGATCAGTGAAACCTCATTCCTTTCAATTTTGCCATCGGATACTCTGAGCTGCACAGAACTCGTCAAAAAGTTAGGCTCCGGGCCTTATACTAGATCCCTGTATGCCGAGCGGCCTCAAACATATTCTGCTTAAATCACGCTTGTATACAGCGTTTTGTGTGGAGTTAGAAACATGCTTAGTGCGCTTTTTCTTCTAATGAAGTCTAAAACGTGATAAAAATAAATAGGAGAGATCAGCGTATTTCATACCTCATGGCACTTCACTCTCTTTTTTTTGACCTGAGACTCTTTACCTAGCTTTAGGAGTCCTCTTCAGTGTCTCAGTGCCGAGAAAACGTATATGGAACGTGCTTCGTTAGTCTTTGATTAATGTTCTAAGTCGTAACCCAACATTTTTGAACGTTTGCCATCCAATAAACATTTTTCCGACAATCCAGTTTTTTTTTTTTTTCTGGCGAATTGAATTTCATGCACGCCGACCAGTGCTGTTTTGCTCCCCGAAACAACAGTGCGTTTAGAGACAGAACATTGATATGAATTATTCTGAAGAATACGAATCATGGTTACTCTTTAAAATATAGTTTTGAGTCAGAAAAACTTATAAAGAAGGAAATTCCTGAAAACCTCGAACATTGTGAGAAAGGATTTTCAACGGTATGACCACGGGACCCGTCGTTCTGTACCCTAGATGGGAAGGAACTCATGTCTTGTTTGGAGCGGACGAGTTTTGCTCGACTTAGAAGAGGAACTTGACTAGAGCAGAAATTAGCCTTGAGGAAATTCTCACGGGACGACTCTTAGGGACTTGAAACTTGAAAGGGCTTGGTTTTCACTAGTCGAGGTAAATTGTAAATCGTACCTTGATCCCGATCGCCTCAGACATGCAACTGCAGCACATTTACGCAGTCTCCAAACATCATTGCATTATGTAAGAACGTTGAAAGAGAGCTAATTAGGACCAATTTGTAAGCTTTCGACGTACTCAGTTATGTTACCTACAGGTATATCGATAACGTTTGTTTGCTTAGGAGCAGGTTAGTTTCTGTTTTAAGCGCTGATTGCAAATATTAACGCGATACTTCTACGGGCTCTTAATGATGTGAATTTCAAGAGAACGTAATTTTCCTATTTTAAGCTAGATCCAAACTACGATTTTCATCCTTACAACTGGTGTTGCCTCGAACAAACCGATTGCTACTGTGAGAGTTGCACAAAATTGGAATTTTACATTTTCTTGTCCAAAGCTCTTCGGTGTTTGCTTCATAAAACACTTGGCAACAAGCCAAAAAAATCAGCTTATATGAATGAAACACAACATATTGTCACAATGAATGCTGCATTCGCCGTTATAAGGTAAAGAACTTTATTTATTTAACGTGATGCTTTTTCGTTGTACCTATTCAAGCGTGCGAAGTCGTAAGATTTTTTTTTTAATTTACTCGGAGTCCAAGCTTTGATTAGAAAACACGAAATTTCTTCTTCTGTAATTCCTTTTTATCGCTTTTCCATCTGAAATAAAAGCGTTTAGGGCGCTGAATTGGGATATACAGTCAGCTGATTTTAAGCACATAGATTTTTCGTGCCTTTTTCTGTCCCATGAAAAATTGAATTCATTTTAAAAGACTTATATCTGGTTACGAAATCAAACACAGAACTTTACTGTGAAAACTATAACAGCTTGAGTCTCGACACGAAACAGGAGAAAAATCGTAAAAATTTGAAAAACTTAACAAAGGATTTCTGTGCTTTTACTCGTGCTCTTGGTTAACGGACAAACCAAGAAACGAGCTCCGGACACCATTAGGTTTCGAATTCTCAAATGGACTTGGAAGCTCCTTTGCACAGCACTGATAAAAAAATATTCATCATTTTTCTTAAAGAAAATTTAATAGTAGCATTACAAGGCTTACCTTGATCTCTGTGTGCTCCTCTGCAGCTGGTTGTGAAACAAATTTCTTGATTGTGGCCGCTTTACTGCTGCTAAGCGCCTTAGACCGGGCGGTTATATAATCCTGACACATGCGGAAGTTATGTAAACCGGAATTATATCTTAAATCACATTGCCTGGGCATATTGAAGTTATCTAAAAATTACTTTACAGATAGTTTTTCTGGGACTCTCGCCTATTCTTGTCCTGACCAGATGTTTAAGTTTTCGACCATTCAGTTCCCCAAATCTTCTATAGACATACAACTTATATTTTGCAAGGAAAAGTTATTTCAAGTTAGCCTAGTCAGTCAAATGTTTCTATAACTTCCGTGCGGTTCACAGTCACAGATCTTGACCACATTTCAGATAAAAAATGTCTAAAAAATTTTACTACTTCGCTACCTTCCGATTTCTGTTCTAAAATAGATTTCAAAGCCAGACTCTGTCTGCCGCGGTATTTTACTTTCTTATGCAGATGTTAAATTTTTACCGGGTCGATGTGAGGAATTTGCAGAATTTTTCAGACGTAAAATTAGATTGCAATGAAAGTGCTGCTTTGCAGATGTAAATAGTTAAACTTAGGTCAAGTACACGCCATTATGAAAAAACTGCTATTTATGGTCTCAAATTTAATTTAGTAAAGACGTTAATGTCCTTGAAATCATAGGAAATACAGCTCTAGTCTGCAAACGAACCAAGAACACAGCAAATGCTACGGAAAGATTCCGTAAACAAGAGCCGTCAGCGTGTTCATTGTATTTTGCATTACGCGAGTTATCAAACTTTTCCAGTCGTAAAATCATCCTACCGTGAAAGTACTTATCAAGCATCGTGGAAAATGCCTGGAATTGGGAAAAACCGGCTATTTACTGTCCTTGATTTATTTCAGGGAAGGAAGTTGTAGTGAATCGGAAATTATGAGAAATCCATCTCTGGAAATGTGAATTTCCTGGCTTTAATTTGGCGATACAGCGTGGTTTCAGCAAGTTACAGTGGTCTCGACTCAGCTTTCTGTTCCGGAGGAACTGCTTTAAAACCTGAATGACTACCACAACATCGGTTGTTTCATTCTATCCCATGATGCTCATTGCGAAGCGTGAGTTGATCTTTTAACATGGGTTCGTTTTGGAAGTCTAACACAAAGTCAGGGGCTTCGTTTACAGGTTCTGTTTCTGGCGCAGTTTCTTCGTGAATTCGTGCACTTTCATAGTAAGCAAGTGAAAACGCTAGAAGAGTAGCTTTCACAAAACTCTCTCTTTTAACTTTAGACTTCCTTAGTTCTCAACTCAATTATATTCTGCGACAGGAACAAGAGCTTAAGTTATGCTCATGATACAGCATTTTTTAAATTTATCAGCTTTAACTTCCCAGTTATCATTTTACTCTCGATGAGAGAGATATTAGACAGGTCTTCCTTGATAAATATTATACAAGTCTTTGATAATCATCATAATAATTCTGCTGAATTAATATGATGTTCTTTCAGTTAAGAAGGTCTCAGAGGCGTTTGCCGTAAGGCGGCCAAACATTCAGCTGTTGGGCGTAAGAATTGACAATTTTAACTAGTAGTCGTAAAAAAAGTTAACCGTTAAAATGTTTCCTTTCTAAGATGAGTCATTTTGTGTCCTTTCGGTTTAACCGTAGCCGTAAAATGCCCAAACTTTTTTAACGGTTAGCCGTAAAAGCCAGTACCCCATTGAGACCCTTAGTTAAACATAGGTAGTAATGAACACTGATCATTGTGTGCCGCTTCTTCTTCTTCTTCTTCTTCTTTTTTTTTTTTTTTTTTAATAAACTAAAGGTGCGTTCCTTTGGGAGGATCAGGATTAGGATTTGTATTCCAAGATCAAACAGATCACGGTGCATGAAAGGAACGGAGTTTTAGACGAGCTCTCAGAGAATTCCAAAAAGTGCGCTATTTTAAGACTTGTGTATGCACGTGGGTTATTGAGCTCTCCCCTGAATGGCTCGTCTATCTGCACGGGCCTTTAGCGCGCACAATTTTTCTAATTAGCACTATTCATTAGAAGCACATTTTTTCATAGTAAACTCAAACGATGGACAGAACAAGTATTGATTACGATATGGATACTTGGGAACCCAGAATGCCTACGATCAGTGGCCGATCGATTTAACATTAAAAAATCGATTTTATTTCGTGTTTATCGCAGAGTTTGTGAAGCGATTGCCAACAATATTTCCGGTCAATATATGAAGTACCTACCAGTTGGAAATTGAACGCCGCTGGGCAAAATGATTAATTTCGGATCCTTCGCCCGAAGGAACGTGTTGGATCAGTGATCCAATGATCCGTCATTAGATTACGCAGATCAGTGATCCAATTATCCGTCTTTAGATCACGCAGATCAGTGATCCGATGAATCCTTGTCCAGAGTGGATTTGATAGATCACTAATCTGAAAATGGATTTGCTCGAAAGGAACGCCACAGATCAGAAATCCTGACCCGGATTCTCCCAAAGGAACGAACCCTAAACGAGTGATTAAAATGAATATGGTAAACATTTCGTGTTCAATTTTTCTGGGTTGACGCGGTTCTCACGTACTAAAAAAATCATTCAGCCTGCCTATGTCGTCGTTTATTTTTTGACAAAAGCTACTTAACCCCTTAACTCGCGGATCAAATTTGAAATTCTCCTTTCTGTCAACCTTAAAATACTTATAATGTTTGTAGATAGAAATAATAGAGATGGTAAGTTTTGAGCTCGGTAAAAAATATAGAAAGATGTTTTTTGTCTTGTCGCGAGCGCGGGACAAAGAAAAAATTCTGAGTCTCCATGAGGAATCGAACCCTAGACCTTCGGATTTGTGCTCCGATGCTTACTTAATGAATGGATCAACTAATTACCCCCAAATTGGTATTCTTCTTTATTCTCATCACTTATCTGGTTGATATTGTATTGATATTGTAAGGAGAAATTCTGTCTTGGTCACACATGGGAGTTAAAGGGTTAATATACTCAAGTCCAAAGTAAAGACTAGGAGAGTGAAGAATTCTTTATTTCAAGTCAATGTACCATCCATTTACAGCAAGAGAGGGGTTTTCTCTCATCCTCCCTTGTTTACAGTCAGTGTGTTACGGAAATATAGTGCAATCACAACATGCACGGATGGGTTGCGAGTAAACGTTCAATTGATCACCTGTGATCACCAGAAAATCCTGGATGATAACGGTGTTTTGGCAAATTCCTTGCACGCCTTCTATCCCACAGAATTGATCTCCTCCGCACAACAGTTCGTTGATGTATCGCGGGCTCCTGGTCGGACCCAGGTCTGTCACAGCCGGACAAACCGAACAGAGCTTTTGAAGCCCTCCAATAGTCGTTTCGCAAGGGCCGGAGATCGTAGTGATAGGATACGGTGAGTCTGAAAGTGAAATAGTATTTCTCTTGCCAAATTTACTTTTGTTCCTTCCTTTTCCTCTCTTATTGGGATGGTTGCCATCGCCGGTTATGTCATCCATTTTAGTCGCGTTTAATGTTGTAAATGTCGAGGTGGTAAGAAGATGCCCATTTCGTAATTTCCTCATCACTGAGTGTAAGTTCACCAAGTTGGGGAAACGCCTCGCTTCCGTGGCCGTAAATGCCATGTACTTTGGGTTGCTGTATCCCATTGGTCCAGGGGATCTTCCAAAATGTCGTAAAGTTTTGATAAATGTGACCTCGTCAGTGGGCATTTCCATCATGTCCATCATCCTCCAGAGAAGCAGAAGCACAACAGGAAACAAAAGTGAGCGAGGAAGCATCTAAAACGATGAATGAAAAGGAAAATTTATCTTGGGGATTTACGTTTTTTGCTCTTTCTCACGCTGATGTCAAGTGTGTAACATTTGAACTTTTCCTAGATAGACGGGCGAGCTGAAAATTTAGCACTTTTCTTTATCCTTCTCTACACACTTAGCTTTTGACATCGTAGATCATGGCAGTTGTCCAAGTGCTTGCCACATTTGAACTTAATGTATGTCCTACCTCAACAAATAGTTCCCTTTCGGGAAATCCGAAGGTCTGATATTCGAATATATCTGAGTAATTTTAAGGTGCTTAACAAGTAAAGATTCACTCGCTTTCCTTACATGTAAAAAATTTTTATGAAATTTAAATTGTGAATTAATTTTGAGAGGTGTGAGTTTTGAGCCGTTATGTCAAGAACTTAGGTTAAACATCTTTGCTTACCAAAACAAAATTAGAAATACCTTCAGGTGTTATCTTCTTTAGGAAAATCGCCTTTCTCAGTCTTCCTAGATCGGCTTTTTGTCAGTTATCAGCAGCTTACAAGGGAAAAGGTAGTTTGATTTTCGAAGCGGTAGTTATAACCAAAGTGTGAGCAATACAATATTAAACGAAACAATATCTTTATAAGGACTTCCCATCAGGAATCTTCCGCCCTGATTACATTGAACAATGTTTTAAAAGATTGAAAAAAATTAATAATTTAACAGTAACGTGTGTTACATTTGTAGAAACTGTTATAAACAATATGTCGGCTGCTGCAGAAAACTCAAAAAAAGGATTACTTTCGACAAAGAAAACTTTTCTACAAGGTGATTCCTCTAGCTGTGTTTAAGAATTGCATATTTTGATAGACTCCGCATTTCGGATGGCAAGGAGTTCCACACTGATATTCCCCTATATGAAAAAAGGACAATAATGATTTCCTTTTGTACTCTGAGGCTCGTCCAATGTAGAACTTTTTTTTTCTATTGACAACTCTGAGTAGTGTTCTTGCATTAACCTCTTGAATTAAAAATGTCATTAATTACGACGTTCCGTGGTGGGTACGTATAAGTTATTTGAGCATGTTTTGTCAAACAGCGATCGATTATGTCTTACATCTCATTTCAGTTTACGAGGGTCTTTAGTAATCAGTTCGAATAAGTGCAAATATTCGGAGTGGCCTTTAGTTTGATGAATGTTAGGGTGACCTCGGAAATTCTTAATCTAATTTGATTTCCAAAATAATGAAAATAAATCAATTTTTTTAAATATTTCTTTAAAATGAGGTTGGCTTGTGTGTGTTGTTCTCTCAGCATTTGTATGCAGTAGATTAATCAGTAGCTGAGGTTTAATTAAGTCTTGCCATACCTGCTTTTAAATTTGAAAGTTCAATAAGTTATTCTACTATGCAGTGGTTTTCAGTTTCTTTCAAGAGAAAACTTATAGGACCTATAATTTTCCCTTGGTTTTCTTGTAATTTAGATGATACAATACGATCTCTTACCAAAGCTGGACCCTCCTGATGATAAGATCGTTTACCCTCGCCGCGTATTTTCTGTTCAATATACTGGAATAGAAAGTACAAGTTATTTGCTACCCGCATCTTGGAGGTGAAGGGTTAAATTACTGATATACGCATTGAAAAGCGACACCGGATTCATATAAGAGGTGACCGGAAAACTGCACTCAATTAGTTTCAAAAGATCTGCCGAGTGATGAGAATTGTCATTTCTATGGCTATTGTTTTTTAAAGCAGATGAAGGTCAGTGGCAGTCTAATAACTCTGTCCAATTACTCGTTTTAATAAATTTTTTTTCCTAAGGTAAATGTAATTGCCATTAACTTTAGCCGATTATAAATTTTGTTTAGCTTCAAGTCGCACTTTTTATAAATGGTATTTTTTTCGATCTACCGGGATTTCTTCGTGCTGGAATTGCATTTAAGCCTGGTTCTCGTACGCTGCAAACGTGCCTAGGACTGGCCGCAAGCACGGCCCGAGACAATGTGAAAATTAATCGGTCTCAGGGAATTGACCGCAGGCTCAGTTCAACTTTTCAGGCAAGCTGGCAGTTGTTGGCAATGAAAATATTTTGTGTGAACATCATCTGAGGTGGCCGACGAGGAAATCTTTGACGTAAGAACTCCATTTTTCCCACAATACCGTAACTATTCTGGTCACGACGCCGCAATACTGCGAACAAAGCGTGATACTGGCTGTGTCTGTCCTTGAAGCATGAGTAGCACCCAATACTTTCTACAAGCTCTCGTCTCCATATTCCTCTTTCTTCTCTCGCGCCATATCACCAGCACAAGCGCAAGCGAAAACTGGCACTCTAGTAACACGACACGATCCATATTAACAGATGGAGTGGTTAAAAAATTGCACCCGTTCGATTTACATGTTTTGCCAATTTTATCACTTCGGCGACCCATCACAGATGCGCCGGGGACCGAGCTGAACAGATCACCCAGCTTGACAATTGCCACCGGGGACTACGTCCCTGGTATGTCTATTGCTTATGAAAACCTGCCGTTATAATCACTGAAGTATTTCATGCGAGGTATAACATTTTACTTTTTAATGATGATTATCAAATTCTTGCTGTCCAAATAACTAAGTAAAACCGTCGTTAGTAACTTAATATCAACTCAAACAAACAAATACCATTTCGTTTAATGTTTGTAATTTTCATTCTGTTGTTACGTTACACTGATACTGATAAAACTCAACACGAACTTAGTTTCCACCCGCGTGTTTCCTTTGCCTGGACGAGAGAGGACAGGTTAAAAAGACAATACACATGTAAAACTAATCATTTTGTATGCAAGAGATTGGAAACTTCTTTTTACTACGACCATCGGAATCACTCTAACTTCTATTACCTACTTTACGGTACAAATTTGTCAAAGATTGCAGCCAAGAAAATGGCAGAAGTTCGTACTCGATAAACCCGATTGGTTGGTTGGAAGAGTCACTTGACCAAGTTTTCACTTGCCATTGCATCAGAGCAAGATACATTGACAACACATTTTCATGTCATAAAAATCCAATTTCAAATCCTTATTGCAGTTCCCTTGAGCACCGTGGTCTTTGAAGAACTTCTGCGTCATAACTGTTGCTTCGCATTTTCCACGATTCTGCCCGCAACCGTTGCCTAAGCTCTTGCAATTGACCTCGTTTACGTAGCGCGGATAAAAGTTCAGGCCGCGGTCTGTTACGACGCCGCACCCTTCGCAGTTTCCTGAATCTTTCATGCATTCTCCTATTCCTAAAGAGGCGGGGAAACTTAAAGGAGCCCAGGTGGCCAAAGCCGAGAAGTTTCCTGGCTGCATGGTGATCAGATTTTTAAAGTTTCTTTTCACTTCGTCTAATGTAAAGGCCATGTAGTTTTTGTTAAATGCACCCAAAGGCCCCCCACCATTTAGCCTTAGATGGTCCTTAGCTTCGGCCACTGTGATCGCTTGGCACTTGTCGTCGTCCTGTATTGTGAGCAAGGGCAGTTGACAGATAAGAAGAAGGACCTGTGGAAAAAGAAAAGATTAGGAAGGAAGGGTTGAGCTTATCTCAATGAACAAAATATACTTCTAAAATTTCACCCCGCAAGAGAAGGGAAATCGCATGAAGTGAATGACTGATAATTAATGTCAACTGATTGTAACTGCTGACATCCTTGGCTTTCTAGATATAAATCATCCAAGAAAATGTACAGAGACAGTACATATATTTTTTTTAATTCACCATCTTCTGAAGAAAATGCCAAAGAAATCAAAGGAATGATACAAATGAGTCCAAAATTGGTTACCTCCCAAAAAACAATTATTTGCTGATCCTGCTCTAAAGGCTGCTCGATCAGTTGATTGGTAATAATGATTAAGATCTGCATTTTTCTCTTCCCTTTCCTGTTCCAATCTCTCACCTCACGAGATATCACCCCTCACCCTCCCCCCTCCCCAAGACTTCATTACAAGTTCTTAACAAAGTGCTTATGCACAAGGTAGCTACATCAGACAAAATGCCTAAACGTCATCGTATCCTTTTTAACAACGAACCCATGATTGGAATATTATCAAGATAACAATCACGATAGAGATTTGATAGGTTAGAGAGCTCTCAGCGTCAGTGAAAACCTTAAGTGGTTAAATTCTGGCACTGGCAAAGGTGCTCTCATCTGTTTATCTTGAGTTTTAGTTGTATCGCCAACGAAAAAGATAAGACCTGTCTTTCTCGGCTCCTTACTGGCTCGCTAATGCACCAAGCGTATTGCTTGCGGGGAGAAGCGTGCTATCTTTGGCCATTGAAAGCCACTCTGTTTTCAATCTGTAATGTTTATTCGATTGCAAGTAAATTTCGCAAGGGACTTTGCCCGAATTTATCAATTTCAGGCAACCAGGTATGTAACGTTACCATTCTAATCGGCAGCTGAGGTATTGGAAAGGCAGAACATTCGCTAACTTCTTGCGACAAACGCTGGGAAAGTTGCTTTTTTTATTGCGAGGTTTGCATAATCCGGACATCTGAATATCCGGCGATATTAAGCTGGAGACAGCCATGCTCAAACTTTACTATAGATATTGCAATATAATGCCATATAGCTACGAAAATCAAGATTTGGTGGCACGGAAATGTAGGCTCTTGAATGCATATTAGGCGTTGAACACGCCACCTCTTTGCTGTTATCAGAGGGTTTGATTCTTATATGTACGATATAAAATTCTAAAGCGATGAGAATAACAAATAATTCAAGTAGTGTTCTGTGTTACCATTTCACAAACCCTAGCTCGTGCAGTTAATGTTGGCAGTGGATCAATCTTGAAAAAAAGTCTAAAAAAACATGAACGTTGATGGATCGGTATTGCAATACAATAGAAACTCGCGCTTTGGTCGATATTTGCTTGCTTAACTTCTTTTTCGGATTTCTTCCGCCAAGCAATGATCGCGATGTGGTCTGGTGTTTCCTTAGTTTTATGTGCCACAGTGGTTAACTCGCTTTAAGCGCATTATAAAGAACACTTTAAAATCTCTTAACTAACAAGCATAGTGGTCTATTTTGCAGCCAAGGTTGATTTCTTTCGAATGCAACGCCTAATGGCGACACTCCAAACATATACGCTACATATACGTAGTTCGTCAAGGAAGAATGCAGAGTTTCAAGCCGCGATTTCCTATTGCGACGACTTTACTGAGTCATATTTTTCTTCCGAACAGTTATCAACGTCTGAGTCAGCGAGTGCTTAGCTGAAGGCCTTCTTTGAGTAAATATACTATAGAGACCTTGAGAAAATCACGACGGCCTCAGCAACGAGGACGTGGCAAAACAAAAGATCTGATGGCCAAAAAAGTGGCTCAGCACGTGCGTTTTTAACGTCTGTACATTTCTTGGTCGTCCCTATGCAAAGCAACAACCGGTGAATCACCAAATTTTGCGTGGTCTGCCGAGAACTGAATATCCAATGGCAAATTATTTAAGTTTCTATTTGGAACTTAACTTTGCTCACGGAGAGACATTATGTTGAAGTTAAGATGTGGCACCGTAAGAGACGGTAGACACATCCAGCCACTTACGAAATTAACTGCTAATGTAAATTCAATTTTTTCAATCGACGTCTTCCTCAGTATTGCTGTCTTGACCGCTTAAGGTCTCTATTATAGCTTCGTGGACTTTTCTTCTGTTTCATTTCCGCAAGATGTAGCTATTTTTGGTTGCATTTGTAAAGGATGTATCGTATCAAGAGATTATCTTAATAATTCCCCTTCTGATCATATCGTAGTTTGGCCATTAGCACGGAGCTATTTGCAATTTCGGATTTCACCTCAAAAATTGTTTAAAATGAGTCGCTGTCTATCCCCCAAGTATGACAAGCACATGCTTGAAATCTTAATTAAGTCCTACCTTCATGGAATATCGTAAGATACACATCGCTCTTGTTCACTGGTTTTTCAAAGTTTGGGCGAGTTGCTCTTAGGACACACAAAGATGCATGCGTGGAAAGCTTCGACTGTCAACTGGCCAGCTCAGCAAAATATCAAAATTAAATAATCAAGTGAGTTATCCAATCAAATTTTTCGCTACTCAATATTAAAAATGTCAAAAACCGTAGCAACCTTTGTATCGATCATTGCAGCGTATATGGGGGCTGGGAAGTCGGAGACATAGTCTTCCTCATATTTACGAGGCCATCTTTGGGTGGATCATAACGAGGGGTTTTATACTGGAATGTATGTATTTACAAGACTCTGGTGTAAGAATACTCTTTTATAAAAATAACTCTTACAGAACTGGGTAAATACCATTTACACACATACTGATAAACATGACTTGAAGTTATATTGAAGGGTATATGACAAACAGGAAATAACTAAATCTTGTTAGACGTTTCGGCGTAGTATCACTCAGTATTTTTTTACGAGTTGTACCGTAGTTTGACGACTGCCTGCAGGGCGAAACAAAATATAATACAAACGACGAGTAAAAATATAATACAAACGACGAGTAAAAATATAATATAAACGACGCGTAAAAATATAATACAAACGACGAGTAAAAATACTCCATGATACAACAAACCGGAACTTCTAATAAGTTATTTACTATTCAACTGCTTTTTCATGCTTCATTTTCTGCGCATTTATGATAAGGCGGAAAAAGCAAGACATATAGCGAAGCGTCACACCCGCAGCCGACGAGTTGAACAGGTTTTTTTATAATACAAAATAGCCAATTGTTCAAATATGGTGTGATACTTGTTCTTGATTCGCATGTTATTTGTTCTCTACTTAACAATACTTGGCACAATACCTCCTTAATGGCGAGAACATTTTAAAAGTCCTCAAAGGAACAATAGCATGTAATTTTGTCAAGGGACTATATAGATTTTGACTGTTCTGCTCACATTCGTTGTGAGTTCCAATAAGCCAATAAGAATGAGTGGTACACCTTGTACAACCAAATTTGACGTACAACATTACCACCTGCTTTTGATAAGTTAAAAAGGCAGAAAATACGTAGTGCGGATATTTATAACTTAGAAAAATAACCAACCTTTAGACTGCTGGAACTACATCAGCTCTTAAGTTTTCTTTTTATATTGCACTTAAAAGCCGAGGCTTAGCTTACTGCGTGATTACTTATGCCAGCCGGTCTGAGTTACTCTTTTATAGTGAGAGTGGGGATACAGCTGAACATTGTCAACAGCAGGAGAGAGGAAATAGGGAAGGTTCGGTGGGTGAAAACTGTAGAGAGAGAGAGATACTGTAGGAAGGAAAATCATTAATAAGACCGAATGTATGCGACAAATATATTGTCACTAGCCTTTTGTACTTACCCGCAGACGTGCGGGAGGATGAGTGAATGCAAATAAGATTCCCCTTGTACACACTCAAGCATAGGTCGCTGAGAATATTACTTTAGTTACTAATCAAGACGGAAACTTGAAGAGTATTCTATTAAAAGAAGAATTCAGAATTAAAACAGCGTTTTAAAGAAAGAAACTGTAGTGCTGCGTCGGTGAAAGAGTAAAACAAGATTATTTGGTTTTATCAACTGAGTCGATGACGTAAATTTGCCACCATAAGGAGTTTCAACGCTGACATTTCGAGCGTTCGCCCTTCGTCAGAGCGAATCATGGAAAAGCGCTAGTGCTCGAAACATCATCTTTGAAACTATATACGGTGGCCAGTTTATATTTATTTGTCAACTCAGTTGATAAAACTAAATAATCTTTCCAAGAAAACTGGAAATCATTTGTTTTGTTTGCTCTTGCTCCAACAAAGACAAACCGAGGTCCCTTTCATAAGTCAAATGCGCCATTTCTTCAAATTTGCTGGCTCATTAAAATTTTCATGGCATTAAGCAATATTGCAATATTTTCTTCAAAATTATCAGCACGATTTAATTTTTTTGTCGCAAAGTATATCTGCTCAGTTAACTGATGTTATGTTTGAAGCATTGTTCTGTGCAGGTTTTCTAGCCTTTGGCAAGGATGATCGGTATAATATGTGTTTTCGAGGTATAAAATGTGATCCGCTTTTAGCAATTCCTAGCAATTCATATATCGTTTTACGC